TGAAATAACTAAACTGCAGAGAGTACAGAACGCAGCAGCTAGGTTACTAACTTCGAGCCGCAAATATGACCATATTACGCCTGTTTTGCAAGAATTACACTGGTTGCCTGTTAGCTGGAATACATTTTAAAATTTTACTTTAACTTTTAAAGCACCAGCTTATATAGCTTATAAAGCACGCACACTATTCATTGCGCTCTAATTCAGGCACTATTATATTACATCCAGCAGGAAAACTGAAAAAATCTTTTGGTGACAGATCTTTTAGTATAACTGCCCCTACACTATGGAACGCGCTCCCAGCAAGCCTGCGTAATATCGACACTATTTGCCTTAAAACATATCTTTTTAAGTTAGCTTTTAGCCTTTAGCGCTTTAATTACTTTGTTGTTGCTAAATTTAGTTTATGTACATATTTAGTATATTTTAATATTGTAATGCGCTTTTGATCATTATACTATATTTTAAAAAGCGCAATATAAATTAATAAATTATTATAATTATTACACGATACAAAATTTCAAAGCTAACAAGCTTGTTGGGTCGTGTAATAAATAAAAAGATACGAATTTAAGGATAAAAAACATTCTTGTAAAAGATAGAATTTTGTTAAATTAAGTCAATAGTTAAAAATAGATAGAATTCTTAGGTCTGTTGTTGATTATTTGTGGGGCTAAAACATTAAAATTAAAATTCTTAAAAGTGTGACAATTAACAACATTTTTCAAAAAGGATTTCACGTCTTTGTACTCTAGCTAGTATCGATCCTTTGATCGTCCTTTAGCGTTCCAGAGGACAGCCCCTCTATAGGAAATAGAATTTTGAACGTATTTAGAGGCAAAACCAGGAGCTATCAGCCCATGCTTCAGTCTTGAAGAGGATCTGCTGCCGCAGACAAGAAACTCTTCAGCTGAAGTGCGAGGGAGCATGCCATGATACCCCTTGTAAAAAAAGTTTAATTAAAGAACATTTATACAGGTGTGTTTAAGTGTTCCACTTAAACAACCGTTGGCATGTCCGGTGAAAATCCAAAAATAATTCTAACAACACGGCAGTGTAGTCTTTCCAATGTTTTAAATACCTCTTTCTGATTAACCCCACCCCAGACGGGCATTGG